AAAAAAGTATGTTCTGTTGCACTTTAAAATGCTTCAGATCTTTAAAGAAGGACTAAAAATTGGACAAAGGGACAGTTTAGGAACTTGGTCGGAGAGGTTAGAACCTAAGCCATGGCAAGAAGAAACAAATGAAGATAAAGAATGAGAACGTTAATGTGGGCCAGAGTTATAGCTTAGTGGTAGAGCATTTGCCTTGGATAGGTAAGTTTCTGTTGTTTCATTCCTTGTGCAGGAAACAACAAACAGAAGAAATAAGATCAGGATAGCCCTGGGGTTAAGGGCACACACTTTGTGTTCCTTGACCACAGTTAAATTCCAGATCAGTAGGATTCCCCCAGGTATTGAGTAGTGGAACTGATGTAGTTCTGGAAGCCCCGCCAGGTGTGCCCATGGTGACTCCTAAGCACCACTAGAGTGACCCCGATGGTCCACAGGACTGCACGGTCTGTAATGCACCACATCCTCGGACCATACCTTTGAACTCCCAGCCCTGTTCTGCAAGTATTGCTGGAAGTTGTTCTGGACTCCCTGAGCCCTACTTGAGGGCACTGTTCCCCACAAGACACAGTGTTTATGTTAAGAAGAGCAGAGAATATCAAACATGGATCAAAGAAGGTGCTCAGTGTATTGAGCTATCTCTCCAGCCCAGTAGTAGAAAGTAGATTTTTCAGTGGAGAAGTATACAGCCATTTCTGATGTTTAGATTACTTAAATAGCTTTATAGATCATAGTTGTATTTAATGATCTTTGGGTGCATATGAAACTTAGTAGCTGAAATAATGCTAATTCACATTTTTACCTTATGGTGTATCTTGGTTCAATTATCTAGGCATAGCTAATTGGGATTTGTGGAATGCTCTTTCACAAGTAGGCAGTGAAGGTGTCAGCCAGTGTTATAGTCACTCCATGGTTCACTGAAGGGGAATTCATTTCCACCATCACTGAAGTGATTAACAGTATTGAATTTCTTTGAGGCTGTTGGGTAGAATCTTATCTTACCTTAAGAGGTGAATCCCTTAGTTCCTGGCCACTTGAGTTTCTACATTTGAATTACTGTACATTGAGCTCACAATAGAGCTTCTGTGAATGATACAAGAGAGTAAGAGAGATGGTAATCAGAATGAGGTGGTAGTTCCTCTTTTAGCCCGATCTTTGCAGGGACATCTCATCACTTTTGCTGGAGCAATGAACAGCAGCTACTCTCACTAGATAGAACTCATGCTCAAGGGTGGGGAGTGACATGAGATCTTGAATACTAAGGAGGCAGAGGTATTGGGATGTATTTGAAGCTGCCTGTCCAGTGGATTTAAGCAAATGTTGATAATGGAAGTGAAGCCACAGAGATTGTTGTAGACATGTGTGTTAGAATAAAGAAGAGCGGTTGGAGTCAAGAAGTATTTTGGAGGGCCAGAGAGATAGTGCAGTGTGATAGGGCACTTGACTTGCATTACAGTTAACTTGGATTCAGTCCTCCAAATCCTTCATGATGCCTGAGCCTCAATCACAAATGATCCCTGGGCACAGAGACAAGATTAAACCCTGAACACCACCAGGTATGGTAGGGAGAAAGAGATGAAGGGAGGGAGAGAAGAAAGGAGGGAGAGGAGGAAGGAAGGGAAGGAGGAAGGAAGATTGATTACCTTAGATGTTAAACTTTAAACTCATGAGAATTTCGGGGTTTAGAGCTTCAGGTTTCCCTTGTGGTGCTCAGAGGGTCTTGGACTAATTTGGCTGGGCAGTTCAGTGCAGGGAACTAAGGATGTATTGCTATGAGCACCCCGCAATGCCAGGGACCATCAGGACCACCCCAGCCAGTGATGAGCAGGGACCAACTGGGCCACACCTGGTGGTGCTGAGGAGCCTCTAGAGCTTTTCTGGACTATGCTTGGTGCCATGCAGGAATATACTAGAAATTGAGGGGTTGTGTCCCTGCCCAAATGTGGCAGTTTTAAGGGAGAAGAAATTAAGAGAGGCATCTGGTTATTTTTGACTCTTAAATAACGAAATAAAATTTATGGGTCCGGGATGTCTTTGGTAGAGCAGGCAGGCATGAGGCAGTGAGTTGGCGCTGATCCTATGTGCTAAAAGAACACCGCAATCTCCTGCACACCTCTAGCACTGCAACTCAGGTGTCAGCACTGCAACTAAGTGCACTACAACCCCCAGTGAGCACTTCGACAATAGCTGCGGAAAGTGTGTAACCTTATGACAACACATAAAGTCCCCCCAGCCCCACCAGGATTCCTGAGCACAGAGCCAGGAGTCAGTTCTGGGCCCACTGGGTGTGACCCAAACCTCGCCCCACCAATCATCCTGCCACCAAAACAGAGAGAGAGAGAGACAAACAGACAGAATATTCTCCTAATTTTTCCCCTGTGGACTCATCCTATTTAGATTCTAAAACATTAATATCTGTGTATCTGTCATTCACTTAACCAGCAAGTGTTACTGGGAGGAACTCACAGATCAGCACTGTATAAGATCTTCATAGGAGTATAATAATGAATGGGACAAGAATTGCCTGTTTATCTGGTTTTTTGTTAGTATCTTTTCTTTCTCTTAACGTCTTTCAGAAATACCACTAATCCTCTCAGGTAACTTCACTTTTACTCTTCCTATTAGACCTTTCTTGAAAGGTGTTGTATGTTCCTTTTGTTTTTGTTTTCTAATGGTATAATCAGGAAGGTTTTTCTTTGGAAATACTGAGATTCTATAAGTTTAAAAGAGCACATGGTTGGCTTAAGCTGTTAAGTCTAGTGACACTATTTTTTAAAAATTTTTTTATTCTATAAAGTTGTTCATAATATTTTTTTACATTTAATATTTAAACACCAATCACACCACCATTACACCTTCCCACCACCATACTTTGGATGTTCCAATCCTAAACCCCAACCCCTGCCCCAAAGCAGAATCAAAATAATATATTTTGTATTGTTTGTTATGAAAAACCACTGAAAATGCTACAAAAAAAATTTCCTTAGAGAAAAGAGTATGAAGACTGTTGTATTTCACAGAGGGCACATTAAGCGCTTCTATAAGAGATCATTAACATGTTGTTAAAGGTTGAGCCTTGTACGCATATATATATATATATATATATGGAAAAATATTTCCCTCTAAGATTGGTTGCCTCCTACTTTGAACCCCATCAAATATGGTGCGGTACTCTTGGTGTATGGGTGATGTGAGGTATGAGTTGTCGAGACCCCGAGGTCCAGGAATAGATTCACTCATGGATGAGGATTGGCCTGACTGTGTGGAGAGTGGCTGTGAGCATTGCCGTTGAGTTCTGGAGGTTTTTGGATGCCGGGGCTAGGTCCCTTGGGGCGGGGACCCAACCCCTTTTGGAGCAGCCCTCGTGAAACAGCCTGGCGTGGGGTCTGGTGGCATGGTTATGGTGAGTGTCATGCTATGCTCCCTTCCAGGAGAGAAAGACATGCTACTCTGGATGGTGGCCAATGACAAGATTATCTGACACCAGCCAGAGGTAGCTTATGGATGTGACTGCTGAGTTGCTGGAGATAGGGGATACAGGCAGAGGATCTCCGTTTCTGGATCCATTGAACCCAGAGTTCTCAGTCACAAAGTCCCGCATACCTGGGTTTTCTGGGGATTTACTGGTGGGTGAGACTTGGCCTGAGCGTGGGAAGAGCATCTGTGAGCATGGTGGCGGTTGAGTTGTGGAGGTTTTCAGCTGAATGAAACTATTTCTGATGATTCCTTTCAACCTGCTTTAGCTAGAATAGCAATATCTTACTGCCCGATTTAACGACGCTGATTCAATTGAATCACCAAAAAATGAGGTTTTTTGGGGGAGGAGATGTGCTTTGGGGCCTTACCCAACAGTATTTAGGGGATATTCCTGGCTCTGTGCTCAGCAATAAACCCTGGTCATGGGGACTGCTTGTGGTGCCAGGATTGAATCAGTTTGTATACAAGACAAGATGTTTGTTTGTTTTGTTTGTTTGTTTGTTTTAATGTGGGGGCCTGGGGCTCCTGAGTTCCTCAATGTTCTAGCTCAATATGCCAAAAGTGAAAACAGGTAAGACTCTCAGGTGAGTTTGACATATAATATATGACTAATTTATAGCACTGTTGCATATAGTCACTCTCACTATTCATTACACTGTTCTGTTATGTACATACAACTGTTCAAATCGCCTAAAGCATAATTTCTTAATACTGGTCGAAGACCAAGTACATCATAGCATACAAATTTTTGGACTCTATCCCACAGAGACATTGATTTATTAGATCTGTGGTTATATCTAATCCTCTCTCTTGTAAATAATAAAATACAGCTGATATATCAGATTGGAAAAATAGCATTCAGATGTATTAATGTACTACTTTTGTATTTTTCTTAAAGATAGTATTCAGAAAAAAATATAAGTAAATATTTATTAAATGTTATAGGTCAGTTGGCCATGATCACTGTCACTGTCCTCCCGTTGCTCATTGATTTGCTCAAGTGGGCCCAGTAACATTGTGAGACTTGTTGTTACTGTGTTTTGCATATCGAATACGTCATGGGTAGCTTACCAGGCTTTGCTGTGTGGGTGAGATACTCTCAGTAGCTTGCTGGGCTCTCCGAGATGGGCGGAGGAATCGAACTCAGGTCGAACAGTTGGGCTGTGTGCAAGGCAAACGCCCTATCCGCTGTGCTATCGCTCTAGCCATGATACACTTTAAGAATTAACTTGGAACTATCTGACCATTTAAGTCATATTCTAATTAACAATTCAATTATTCCTGTGTTTAGATACTACTAGAATTTTTAATTTCAGTCTTTCAAACGTTGATACATTTTTCTAATTATTTTGCATTAGATTATTTATTGATCCTATGAAAAATGTAGAGCAATAACTAGATTATTTGACCTATAATATTTTATTAATTTTTACTATATTCTGCTGCAGAGATGTATACTATGATTGTCTCTCAAGATGGGACTGTCACAGAATGTGATTTTTATTTGTTGTTTTTCTTTTTGTTAGTGTTATTCCTCTTTTAAAAGAATCAGTTGAAATATTAATGCAGAGAACTCCTCCCATGTTGGAAAATCATTTGCCTCAGTGCTATCAGAGGGTAAGTTTTAAAGCTTCCAAACTACTGAGCTTTGTTGGTTCCAAACTTGTCGGTTTTTTTAACTTTCACAGAGTTGGTAGTGTGTGTGTATACTTGAGTATCTCTTCCAAGATTAAATGCTGACCATTACTGCCACTTATACAAACAAGAATAAAATCATTGAAAAATGTTCAGCTTTACTAAAAAAAAATAAAAAGAAATGAAAGTGCTTTAAAGTGTCCTGACCTAGAACTTGAGCAGTTATTTCAAAATATAAGTACAGATGATCTCTGCATTTATTCAACATTTTTTTTTTTTGGCTTTTTTGGGTCACACCTGGCCATGCACAGGGCCTGGCTCTGCACTCAGGAATTACTCCTGGCGGTAGCTCAGGGGACCATATGGGATGCTGTGAATCGAACCCGGTTCGGCTGTGTGCAAGGCAAATGCCCTACCCACTGTGCTATCACTCCAGCCCCTCAACATGTATTTTTTTTTCTTTTTAAATTTTTATTAGTGAAACACCATGAGGTACAGTTGTAGACTTACAAATTTTTGTGCTTGGGTTTCAGTTATACAATGATCGAGTACCCATCCCTCCACCAGTACCCATTCTCCACCAACACTAATACCAGTATCCCTTCCACCCCCCATCCTCCCATCCCACCCTGCCTCTGTGGCAGGGCACTCCCTTTTGTTCTCTTTCTCCTTTTGGGTGTTGTGGTTTGCAAAAGAGGCATTGAGTGGCAGTCATGTTCGGTCCATAGTCTACTTTCAGCATGCATTTCCCATCCTTGGTGGATCTTCCCAACACCCTTTATTTGGTGCTCCCTTCTCTATCTGAGCTGCCTTTACCCCTAGAGTGTGCGGCTGGCCTCCAAGCCATGGAGTAAAGCTCTTGGTATTTATCTCGGCTATTCTTGTTAGTCTCCTATTTTGTTACTTTATCAACATGTATTTTTAATCTTCTATTTTTGTGCCAGTTAATCTCATAAGATACTATTGATGTAATGAAAAGCAAATTAGACAGTGTCTTGGTTCTGAAAGGGTCAATGGATGGCCATTGGATTTACTACAAAAGTCATAATTAAGAAAGTTAAAACCTTGATGATAAATCTGAACGAACATATGAAAATTCTGAGAAACATGTTCCAGGAAAAGGATCATGCCAATGCAAGATTTCCGTAACTGGAACTAATTTAGAGTGTTTGAAAAAAAAAAGGAAAAAAAAACCACTGTGGCTGAAGCATAATAAATAATAAATATAGAGGAGATTGGCCGAAAGGCTTGGAAAGAATGTCAGGGACCACTGAGGTTTTGGTCATGCTGAGAACTTTATATTTCATTCTAATTCAGTGCGAAGCATTGGGTAGCTTTTGGTTAGAGACGTCATAAAATTTGTTACTACCAGATTATCCTGCTTGCTATTACAGCAGAAGGCATTGAATTTTAGGGAGAGTTAAAGCAACACAAATTAGACTGTTGTCATCTAAGAGTGGTTTAAGTGAAGAATTTTCCCTCTACCCTTATGTATTCTTTGATTTTGTTTTTTGTTTTTATGGTCATGTCTTACTCCTGGATCTGTGCTCAGGAATCACTCCTGGCAGTGCTCAAGAGATCTTATGCAGTGCCAGGGTTTGACTAGGCTCAGCTGCTTGTGTAAGGCAAGACTTGACCTCTGCACTATCTCTCTGGCCCAAACTTTCTGTTTTTCTGTTTTGTTTTGTTTTACGAGAGGCACGACCAGTGGTTCTAAGGGCTTACTTATGCCTTCGTGTTCAGGGTTCACTCCTGGCAGGCTCAGGGGACCATATGGGATGCTGGGGTTTGAACCCAGGTTGGCCACGTGCAAGGCAAGTGCCCTACCTGCTGTATTATTGTTTTGGCTCTACCTGTTTGTACTCTTAACAGAAACAATGCCAAAAAAGTAAAACAGATAAAATGGAGAAAATGACTAACTCATTGAATTGGCTCAAGCTTCCTCAAGTTAAATTTCAGTTAAAGTACTAGATATTAGGATATGTGATTATGGGTAAGGAGGTCATTTGTGAAGGGTGCAACGAAAGACAGTGAAAATATACGTTAGATTGAACTTTAAACTTGTCATCTCGTTTACTAAGCGATAAGGAGATTTGATTGTCTCTTCAGTGTGGCGGGGAGACACCCCTACAAATGGGGCGTTTCTGACTTACAAGCAAACCGTGTCTCTTTAAAATGATTCACCCTCAGGGTTCCTAGAGAGCTCAACTGGCTAGAGTGTCTGCTGTATGCTTGCACATAGGAGACCGAGATTTGAACCCCAGCATGTCATAGTGCCTGAGCACTGCTAAGAATGAGCACCAAGCATGAAGCTGGGTGGGAGTAGCACCTAAATCCACCAGGTATGACACCAAGACAAACAAAAAACAACTCCAACTAAGTTCTCAGAGCTTTACCAATTTCTGCTATTTATTAAAAATTACAAACCTAACAAATGATGCTCATGCTTGAGACACATTTAGGGTGGCAGATTTTGCTCCCTTGCAATGAAAACAATGGTAGTTTGACCAGAGCCACAGCAGTAAGATGGAGATAAGTAGGTACCAGTAAGAACCAGGAAGAACAGATACTACACTTGATGGGCTGGAGCGATAGCACAGCGGTTAGTGCATTTGCCTTGCATGCGGCCGACTCAGGTTCAATTCCTCTGTCCCTCTCGGAGAGGTGGCAAGCTACTGAGAGTATCCCACCTGCACGGCAGAGCCTGGCAAGCTGCCAAAAACAGTAACAGCAAGTCTCACAATGGAGATGTTACTGGCGCCTGCTCAAGCAAATCAGTGAACAATGGGACAACAGTGCTACAGCGCTACACTTGATCTTAGCCAAAAGGCTGAGAATCGACGGCATTTGGGTTAAATGTTTTTAGTGGGTTATATTAGTATAGGGGGGAAAAGTTATACAAATGTCATTCTGAGACTAAGACTGTTGATACAAGTTTGAGAGTAGGAAATTACCTCAAATTAGATTCTGGCAATGTTAAAATAGAAATTTCTGTTACCCTCTGGGGAAATGACAGCACTTTAGTTGAATGGTTGAGTATGAAAATATGGTATTAAAGGAACAGATTAGGACTAGAAGGAGGGTTTGTTTGTTTTTTTTTTTTTAATTTTTGGGTTGCACTTGGCGATGCTCAGGGGTTTCTCCTGACTCATGCACTCAGGAATTACTCCTGGCAGTGCTCTGGGGACCATATGGTAATTGAACCCTGGGTCAGCCGCATGAAAGGCAAATGCCCTACCCGCTGTGCTATCGCCCCAGTCTGTAGAAGGAGTTTTTAAGACAAAAGTAGAAGAATGGCATTTGTAGCATTAGGGTTGGATAAGATTGATAACCTAGGAGAAGTAACACTATAGCACTATCCTTCCTTTGTTCTTTGATTTGATCCAGTGGGCACAAGTAACATCTCCATTGTGAGACTTCTTGTTACTGTTTTTGGCATATTGAATACCCCATGTGGAGCTTGCCAGGCTCTGCCGTGCAGATGGGATATTCTCAGTAGCTTGCCGGGCTCTCTGAGAGGGAGGGAGGAATCGAATCTGGGTTGGCTGCGTGCAAGGCAAATGCCCTACCCGCTGTGCTATCGCTCCAGCCCTAGGGAGAACTAAGCTCTGTTTTTTCAAATCTGCTTTCAAGTCCAGATTTTGAGCCCTAGAGGAGAGTTCAAGGAAGGGAGTGATTAGTAAGGGAGCAGGAAAACCAGAACATTTAATATCAGAGCTGGAGGCGGAGTAGGAGGAACTAATCCATTGCCAAATATTAGTATGGCAAGTGAGGTCGAAAAAGACAAGGAGTCAGAACACTAATTTGCATAAATCCGACTTTGAGCTCATGTTTCTTCTATAAATGCTATACTCTTAGAATAGGAAAAACAGATTTTTCATCTATAATTATACTTTCCTTGGGGCTGCGGCAGGTCACTCTCAAGTCCTGCTCAGGAACCAGGCAAATAGTTCAATTAGTGGGCCTAGAATGGGAAGCTGCTCAGGGCCAGGGTGCTTGGGATTAACTGGGCCAAACCCCTCAGTGTTCAAGGCCTTCAGGGCCATACCCTACAGTTCTTGGTGCTGTAGCCCTTGTTTTCTCTCGCCTCCCCACATTTTAAAATATGAAAGTCAGTTTCTATAGGAATTATCCCTTAGTTTATTCTTTCAGAAAGATGCAACTTGCAGTTTCTAAGGTAGAGATAGAAAAATCTACTTATGTTATTGTTTTACTAACTGTAGAATACTCTATGAGGGCACCATGTGGAAAAATTTCGAGGGGCATCAGATTGAAACCACTATGTTATCAGAGACATAAAAGAGGAAGAAACTGTCTACTTGGATCTCTTTCCTCAGTAAAAGCAATTTTTAAATAGGGTGCAAGTGGGTATTGTATCAAACTTCCCCTCAGGTAATAGGGAATTTATAGGAAATAATGCCTACATTCAGAAAAGCCTGATTAAAATAAATATGTTAGATAAATTTGTAAGTTCAGCTTCTTTTCTTAAGATTCCAAATAGGTTGCTTAAAAATCACAGAATCTCTGAATCTAAAATGCTCTTACTGTGAATTTGGTGCAGACTTCTAGCTTTTCTTTCAGCCGTCTTCTCTCTTCTCTGTGACATCATCCAGCTCCCTAACCAGTTCTGAGAAGTGAGTGTGTTGGGTTCCCTGCAGCCATTTCCCAGGGGAATGTGTTTACCTCTCCATATCAACAATTTACTAGGTGTCTGAGAATTTAACTCATTTCAGTGGATGCCTTCCACTGAACATAGCATCAGATTCTCCCAATTTAGATGGTAGCTGCGAGCCCAGACAGTTACCTTTGCTTCTAACTAAAGGGCTGCAGATCTGAGTCTCCAGGAATCTCTCCTCAGCACTCTTCTAGTGCTGGCCTCTAGCCCAGACGTTTTCCTGTGCTTCAACTGTCTGTCCTCAGAAAAGTGGTTTTGCAGAAATTTACTGTTGGCCTCAAGAAAATTATTGTCACTTACTTAACATATGGCTAACATTTTCAGTTTCTGTAATCTTTTATTTGTAAGTTAATATAAAAATACTATTATAAACCATTGTTGTTTTTCCTGCCTAGCAATCTGTGAAATAGTTCTCCCATTTATACCAGTCCTTGAGTGTAAAATGTTTGAAAACTTCTAGGCTATAGATCCGTGGTTCTCAGGACACGCTCATTGGGTTTGTTAAATTTGGTAGAGCAATTCAGAGAAGCCAGGAAACCCTAGATTATCACTTTATTAGAATTTGATTAGAATTTGTTCACAAAGGGGATGTCTTGTAGAGCTTGTGGGTCAGCCAAGGTTGTGCATGAAAGCTCTCTGTTTCCCCATCCTGGAAGCTGTCTGAAGCCCTTCCTTTTAGAGCCTTTTCTTTTCTTTTTGGGTCACACCCAGCGGTGCACAGGGGTTACTCCTGGCTCTGCACTCAGGAATTACTCCTGGAGGTACTCCGGGGACCATGTGGGATGCTGGGAATGGAACTCGGGTCAGCCAAGTGCAAGGCAAAGGCCCTACCCACTGTACTATTACTCCAGGCCCTTTCAGAGCTTTTTTTTTAAAAAAAAATTTTATTTTATTTTTCATTTTTTTATTTATTTTTTATCATTTTTTTTATTAGTGAAACACCGTGAAGTACACTTATAGACTTATAAATTTTAGTGCTTGGGTTTCAGTTAAGAAGACTTTATTACTTAGGCATGATAAAAGGCTAGCCATTAGCAACTGAATTCAATCTTTAGTTCTTCTCCCTCCTTGGAAGTCAAGGCATAGGTTTAAAGTCCCACCCTGCAATCCTGTTGGTTCCCCAGAAACCACCCCACTCGTCAGCTTTTTTTCCAAAAGTGAACTTTGACACCTTAATTTTTTAATTGTTTTGGGAAGATGTGGAGTCTCACCCAGTGGTTCTCAGGGGCTGCTCCGGGATCAATTCTCAGGAATCATTTTTAACATACTTAGGGACCAGATAAAAGTACCTGGGATCAAATCAAGGTGTCTTGCATGCAAAGCATGTACTTCAGCTTGTTGTATGCAAAGCATGTACTCCAGCTTGTTGAGTTACCTAAAGGCCCAACTTTATACCATAAGTGCTCAACACTTAGAAAATGTCAGTAGTTTAAGAACTGTGAGCCAGAAATTATGGATAAAAATCAAATATGTATGAGAAATATATTTTGGTCATCTGAACAATGAAATATTTATATTTCCTACGAATGTAATATTGTAGGTAATTAACCCATTCATAGAGTGACTTTTTTCTCTTTATAAACTGCTATTGTGAGAAAGATTTGTTTTCTTTATGTTAAATCTTTTATCTTTGGGGTTTATTTACATGTATTTTAAATACTGAATACTGAATAATGGCCGTGATTTGCCATGTTTTTTATATAACTTTATTAACTTAGATGTGTCCTCCTAAGCATGATTTTTCCTAATCATAAGTTGGTGTTGAACTTTATCAAATTATTACATCACATCATCACGGTCCTCCCGTTGTTCATCGATTTGATCTAGCAGTCCCAGTAACGTCTCCATCGTGAGACTTGTTGTTACTATGTTTGGCATATCGAATACGTCACGTTATTATAAAGCTTTTATTGATCTTTACTTCATTATTTGAAAAGTAAAATAGAATTTCTAATAACTTTTCCTCTGAAGCTAATACACCTAGTTATGGTATATTTGTAGCATAATTTTTTAATTTATCATAGCAAGTCATTAACTAATTTTTATTATGATTTAACTTAGCAATTTGTAAGAAAAATTAGCTAATGACTAACTATATTCGGTTATAAGTCAAGACAATTTCTTATGAGGTAACATTCCTATTTTCTAGAAAAACTAACAGGTACTTATATGTTCCTGTGAAAGTTTACCCTCTGGGACTGGGACTTCAGGAACACGAGCTTTTACTAGCATTTGTAATATTTCTTTAATTAAAAAATACAATTGGCGGCCACACCCATCTGTTCTCAGGGCTTACTCCTCGCTCTGTACTCAGAGATCACTCCTGACAGGTCTCAGAGGACCATGTGGGGTGCCAAGGATCAAACCATTGCAAGGCAGGCACTTTACTGACTAGGCTATCTCTCCAACCCTTACATTTCCCCCCCTTGTATTATGATGTTTTCTGTACTTCCAGCAATATATCCTTTTGTCTACATTTTAAAATATATATTAAATTTTTAAAAAACGGAAAGCCTAGACAAAATGATTTATCTAGAGATACAGATGGAAAATATATATTCAGTTATTGCACTATTTACTGAATATTTACTTGATTCAGGCACTGTTCTAAGTCCTTAAGATGCAAAGCATAAAAACGAAACCTAAAAGAAATCATGGCCCTTACTGAGCCCAAGTTCTGCCAGATGAGATAGGTAAAAAACAGTATCAATGATATAAATAATGCAATATGGGATATCATCTGTTAAGAAACAAAGTGGAAAAATGTCAAAAGGGAAATATTGTCATTGTAGAAAGGAATAGGAGAAGGACCTGCTGAGAATAAGACATTTCAGCAAACACCCAAGTAAATCAAACAAAAGTATAGATGAAAGGTCACTACAGTGGAGGGAATTACCATGCCTTGAAATCAGTCTGCCTGGCGAAATTTCCAGAGAATGTGGGGTTTGGCTGTGGCTAAGGAAGGGGAGTAAGGGAAAGAAAATTTAGAGTTGAGGTGAATAAGGTTCCAGGGACGTCGTGGGACCTGGGCCTCCGGGCGTCACTTGTGGGAGCCTTCCTTCCTTTCTCCTAGAGCAGAATGGGAAGTTATTGGAGAGGTTATAACCTCCTCTAACAAGATCTCATTTACTAGTGAGAATACGTAGAAAAGCAAAAATTTGACCAGTTAGTAAGCTGTTATAATAATCTGAACTAGAAGAGATCATGCTGGCTTCAGTGAAACTGATGGCACGAGGATGGGAGAAATGTTTGAATTATACTTAGTCATAATAGTTTGTACATTCCATATTGATATATTATTCACATAGTATTCATAATCTCTTTTATTTTATATTATATATGTATGTGTTTTAAATTTTTATGTATGTAAATATTTTCTAAAAATATTTTGGCTGTAGTTGGTGGGCTCTGGTGTGATTCCCACCCTAATCCTCAAGGGTCATTCCCAGCAGTTCTTGGGCACCAGATGGTGCTGGGAATTGAACCCAGACCCCTTGCAAGCAAAGCTTGCATTCCAGCCCACTCTCCAGCCTCCCTTTTATGGTTTTAAAACTATTGTTTGTATATTTGTAGTTGTTTTCCCTTTTCATTTTATGTTTTGTTTAATTTCATAGTCTATTTTTTAACTGCTATCAGAGATCTTGCTTGCCAGTAGTGGTTTTAAATCTAAGTCTTGAAAACTTTCAAGACGCCATTAGAAAAACATAGAACTATTTCTCCCTATTCTGTTATCTTCTGATTTAGGGAAGGAGATAGTATCTTGGTCTCTGGGGCCCAGAGTCATTTCCTAAATCCGCCCTCCTCCCCCTGCCACCCCCTAACCCCCCGCCCCCCCCCCGTTATTTCCTTCCTTTTCATTTTGTTGAGTTAATTTTGTTCTTTTTCTAGTTTCTTCATGCATTCATGTCTATATTTTTTAGATACGTGCATTTATTGATGTAAATTTCCCTCCAAATTCTGTGCCCTCCAAATTCTGATATGTGTTGATTCATATTCCTTAAACACCTGCCATAGAATCTTGCACATAATGACTGCCCAATCGTTACTTGCTCATTTATACCCTACATGTCACTTTTATAAACTAGACAATAGAATCCATGTTTATTGATATGTTTTGTAGTAATTTTCGTAGTGAGGGACTTTATACTTGGTTATTATGTTAATGAGTTTCCTTGATATTTTAGGTCCAACAGTTGCAAGGAGTTTATAACTTACAAGAGCAGCACTTCTGGACTCTATGTTCTGACGTTTATGTTGGGACCTTGAAATTAATAGTAGCACCTGATGCTGATGCCAGATGGATTTTAAGCCAAACACATAATATTTTTACTCAGGTATGACTCTTTTCTCATGTCTTTTAAAAAAGTCTTGGAATATATCTACGAATTTTAATAATTTGTGCTATTTAATGTGTTAAACATACGTGTGTGTGTGTGTGTGTGTGTGTGTGTGAGATACATTATGAAGTAAATATGAAAGTACCTGAGTTGAATTTGGGAGATCCCTAATTTACTTAAGGAAAAGAGTCATTTTGTTAAGGAAAAGAGTCTTGTTACCTCATCATTGTACTAATGGGAACTTGAAGAAAATGTCGATTTTCCTGTACTATACAAGAAATGTTAGATGCTGTTTGAAAACAACAATTCTAAAATAGCCTTTGGAATAAGAATAATGGTTTGTCATTAGCTTTATATCAAAGCTAAGCACTGTGTTAATGTTTTTGTGAAGTAGCAATACCGTTGTTGCTTCTCTGTGTTTTAATAGCTTAACAGTAAGCTATTAGAGTTGTTTTCAGTGGAATTTGGCATCCTGAATTAGTCTGTGCATGCCTACAACCAAATTGTTTCAGTTAATGCTTGTGCCATCATTGGGACTAATAATCAAAGTAAGGGTGATAACTTTAGTCTTCTGTATATATTGGGAGAATGAAAACATTGTGTTAGTACACTCTAAGGAGAGAGAAAACAAATTCTCTGTCCAGTCTAGCCTGCTGGAACTACTTGGGTAAAATAATCTAGACACTGACACTGCTTCTAGAATTACACAGGAGGATGGGGGTGTTTATCTGCCAAGGTCCATTTGGATATTTATAGCATCTTTCATGGGCCATACAATACAGACAGGCCACAGGCAGCTGGCAACATGTACCAGGGCCAAACCATATGATTGTTGTACCTTATATGGGTCAAACCCGTGAATTCCATACCCTTGAATAGATCTAAAGAGAAAACTGACAGCATACCTTTAAAATATATGTTTATAGAGTCAGATAGATAACACCATGGGATAATACATGTGTGAGACCCTGATTTGATCCCTGGCACTGTATGGCCTCATGAGCACTGCTGGGTATAGCCCTAGTGGCTGTGGGTGCTGCCCAGTGTGGCCCTGAGCCCCCGAGCCCCTTCTGATGGAGGCCTTATGAAAATGTTGGTAATGGGAACAGGGAGATAGTATCGGGGTTAAGTTTGCCTTGCACACAGTCATCCAGGTTCAGTTCCTTGCACCATATATGGTTCCCCAAGTACCATTAGGAGTGATCCCTAAGTGCAGCAAGTAAGCACTGCGGGTATGGTCCAGGAACAAAACAAATCAGAAGGCAGTGTTGGGGCTAGAGAGAACACAGAGTTTAAGACACTTGCATGATGTAACTGCAGCTGTGGCGCTGGCTTGAGTCTCAGCACCACATGTGGCTCCTCAGGGAGCAGCAGGCTTAGTTCCTGAGTATGGAGCCATGCATGCCCCCGAGCATCGGGGTGTATGTGTTTGTGTTGGGCCAGGTGTGTGGCTCAGCAGGGAGCACACATTCACATCTGTGAAGCTCTGGGTTCAATACCCAACTCCACAAAGAAAAGGGAAAAAAATGTCATAAACTTACATGTGGCTGCTGGTATGATACATTGGGAAGCGTTCATGCCACCCATGTGGCACTCTTGTCAGCTGTGGTTGGCATGAACCCAATCATTAACATTTAGACCAAAGCAGCTTGTGGAAATTCCTATAAGACTGTTAACATGGGTTTATCATGTTAGCATGGGTTTAGTGACATGAATGGACAACAAAAGAACATTGCAGAATTGTTCTAGAATAATGGAGACTTTACAGTTTAATGGTTGTATGATCATGGATTTAATCTTGGACTGAAAAAAAGTCACAAAAGAAAGTATTGGGTAACCAAGGAAATTTAAATGTAGACTACATAGTTGCTTATATAATTGTATAAGTGTTCAGTTTTTGAAAGATTTAGTTGTGAAGGAGCAGGCTGTCTAATTTTTCAAACATTTCAGCAAAAAAGTAAAAATTACAGATAAAGTTAGTGTAGAAAATTAAAGCATATATGGTCAAAATGTTAGCAGTTGGTGAACATAGGTACTTACTACACTAGTCTTTTTACTTTGTTTTTTAAATGAAAAGTTAACAAAACAAAAGATCTGTTGGCTTCTCATTGCCACCAGGATAGAGCTTAGGCCTTTCTAGTGTGGCCCTGTGAAGTTTTCAAACTTCTCTTCATTCCACGAGCTACCTCAGACTCCTGCTAGAAGCAATTTAACTTTTCTGTGTGGGACAAAATACTAGTCTAATTTAAAAGTCCAATTTAATTCGTTACTTTCTCTCTGAAATCACAAAGCCCCTCTAAGCAGCATTGCTTTATCCTCAGATGTGCATATCACATTGTCTGCAAGTTCCTACAAATACCATGATTTTGCATTCCTACACTTAGAAAATATTTATATAAACAAAGAGACAGAAACACAGAGAAATATCGCATCTTCAGAAAAGAACAGCAGATTATAGTATACAGTTTAGTTGAATTGAATACCTTTGCATAAATTAAATAATCTTTCTTCTTTAATGAAGAGAAAGATATAGTTAAGTTCCTTTGGGGAAAATCACATATAATTTATGTAAATATATATAATTATCTGGGAGGGAATCTAAATTGTAACGAGAGCAAGGCTTATTCTAGTATGAAACAACGCATTCTATTAAGTACAGGTATCATTTATTTACTACAGAATTTTTTGTTGTTGTTTTATTTGGGGACTGGGTTAGCCACCTGCAATGCAAGTGTCTTAATTGCTATTCTATTTCTCTAGCCTCTACTGAAGACATTTTATTTTAGAGCTAGGGCTCTAAAACACTGTAGTGTAGAAACTTAGATCATAGTGACCTCCATAGTGAAGCATACAAGTCTTACACAGCATGTCTCAAATCTCACACCTCCTTTCTATTTTAAGACTAGGGGATAGTGTAGCAATAATCTTGTTTTTCTCTTTTTCTTTTTTGTTTTTGTTTAGATTACTGTCCTTTTTTTAGCCTTAATTTTCACGCAGTTTACATCAGATCCTTCCATCCATGAGCTTCTGTTGACCTTCCAGAGCACCCTGGAGTCTCAGAAGACTTCGGCACTTGGTCATGCTTTCCAAAGGAATGCAGTTTCCAGGGTTAGAAATGTTCCAGCAGCTGGTCTATGCTTATAGGAACTGCCGAAGTTGTAACTGAAGAAGGTGGAGGGAAGTTCTTCTGGTAACCCTAGAAATCTTGGCTTTTAAAATGCCTGACGTTGAAAGTTTATTCAGCTGCTTCTTTGGTTTTTGGAAGCTGTATTTGGGTTTTGAAAATATGAAGCTCTGAAAATAGTCTCAGCCTTTTTATCCAGCCAGTGATTTCATTCCTTGAAGAGAGCAGGGACTCTTGAGGCTTATACTGAAGATGGTCAGATACATTTTTCTCAAAAAAAGGGGATTGAGGGGGAGGGGGAGAGCTGTGAGGGTGGAGTTGCCCTAAAATTTGACTTTTTTTTCCGTGCATTTAATAAATTTCAGGTTCTCATGACTTTTTGGTTTAGTTGACATAGGAAATGGGTTATTTATTGACTTTCTTCCCTATGCAATAGGAATATATATTCATATGCTATAGATACATCCTGGGGATTTCATTAATATTTTCACTTCATGATATCATATTGAACAGGCTTTTGATTATTATTTTTTACTTTAAACTGCAGGTTCACCTATGTTAGTTATCAAATGTAGTAAAACTCAAATTGCTTAATTTTCTAGAAAGAAATCACATTGTAGGGATGCTTTAGGAGTACTTTTTGTAGAAAGACTTGAAACACTTTAAGCCCCAAAGGCCAGTAGAAGGGTTTTCTCAGTAATCAGTTATGCATTTTGGTTTTATGGAATTATTAATTGTTTCGTAGTTGCTTTTAATGAGAATTTAAGTAATATGTTTTTATTTTTAAAGGTTTATGATAGAACAGTTGATAAAGAACTTGCCTTGCTTGTGAGTGATCCAGGTTTGATCCCTGGTACCACGTTGCATCTCCTGAGCCCTACCAGGAGTGATCCCTGAGTACTATAGGATGTGACCCCCGAAAAAAATAGTTTATGTTATGGGACTATTTTTTTTCATTTTACTTTTTGGATCACACCCAGCAATGCCCAGAGGTTACTCCTGACTCTGCCCTCAGGAATTACTCCTAATGATGCCTGGGGAACCATATGGGACTCCGGGAATTGAACCCCGGTCGGCAGTATGCAAGGCAAACACCCTACCTGCTGTACTATTGCTCTGGCCATATGCAACAGTTTTAAACGGAAAAGATCAACATCCAAAGATAGAATTATGGCTGTTTCGCTTACAAGACTGTCAGCCTTGTTACTACTTTAGAAATATATATTAGGCATGTCTGTTGTGTGCTTATTTTTCATTGTTAATAATCTTTATCTGCTAAACAGTTTGTTTCTTATGCATGAATGCAAAATAGCACATTTAAACTTAAGGAAGTCTCTTCAGTACTTAGATTCCTTTGAGATAAGTTAACCCAGTTTTTAAAATACAGGGTTTTCTGTAGGCATTACAAACAAAAAAAGAACAACATTTTTTCCTTTCTTCTTTTTCATTAATTTAATTAAAAAAATTTTTTTTGAGGAAGTTGTCAAATAGGCAGTGTTCAGGGGCCATTCCTGGAGGTGCTCCTGGAATCATATGTAGTGCCAGGGATTTTATGGCGAAGGATGCTCTTGCAGTAGCTTTTTAGACATGGGTGAATATTGGATTATTTGGAGGAAACTGAGGATATAGAAAGCTTTTTTTTTTTTTAAATGTGCAGTGTATGAGCAGGAAGGAAAAGTGGGACACTAGGAAAGCAGTTTATCACTTTGTTATCTTGTTTTAAGCTGGAAAATCATGGTATTTTATAATCTACTCACATTTATAACTAGAATGTATTTTCAGTGGTTTTGTTTCAAAAAATGATTGAAGAAAAATCAAGAATGTGCCTGGGATTTATACCTTGATAGTTTCACAAAGCACCAAAGACAAGTTTAATTTACGCTAATTACTCCTTCATAGAACTATCTTAATTTCTCTGTCTTCTCTTCTGCCAATTTCTGTTGTGCCTTTAGAGACCTAAATCCCTAGCTTCCTGCTTCTATGTTTTGTGCTCTGTCCTCTAGCCTCTAAATAGAAATAAACGCTGATACCCAGGAAGGAACCAAAAAGCCTCCTCACAGGCCCTAATAGACGTTCTCCATTTCAGAAACCTCTACCTCCATCGCTTCCCCAGAGGTCAACCTTCCTTTCTCTCACTGTTACCCTTACCCAAACATAAGTCTGCTAGAGCCAGGAGGATAATCTATGTATCCCTTCCCAGGCAGGTAGCTATTTCCCCATTTATTTCATTTCATTTCATCTTTGACATTGATTGTGCTCACCAGCTTTGTAATATATCCTTATTCTTCGTTCCATTTTCTTTATCCTATGATGTGTACTTGATGCCCTTCAGAACCGGCCACCTAAACAGGTGGGTATGAGCAGAGACTCTCGGGAGAACCAACATGGCTCAGTTCCCCTAGAGGGGCCAGTGTGGTTTGGTTGATGGAGGTGAAAATCTAAGAGCAGCAACAGCAAGCAGCCCTGCTGAGTGTCAACCATGTACACACACACTGAGTGTTTCCTGACATATTAATCTACCATCCCGAGATAGGTGATATCATCATCCCCAATTTATAGGAGAAGGAACTGAGATTCAGGAGACAGTTCTTACCATTTTCTCCTATTCATTCGTTGTTTCACTAATACGTAGACATGTAAGCATGAGACAATTTTTCAAGATTTTGTGTTATTTTGATGAAGATCAATACTGTTCAGTCAGAAAGTAACACATCAGAGTTCATGTTCAGAGAATTAGAAAATATAAGCAAACGAATCATTCCTTATAGCCATATTTCTGTTCATTTTTCTAAAAATTTCCTTCTGATTTGCTTTCCTTTCTTTGCCTTTCCAAAACAATGAGTATTATTAAGACTCTTGTAAGTCAGTGACACTTATTTTCATAGGAGCACGTGTTCAAAATAATCTATCTTTCTGGTTTAAAGTGCTGGCTAAATTATGGCTCGTGCATTAGTCTCAGGATGTAAACATAATGAAAACGGTGTGGCATTCCTTACTGTAAGAACAATCCTTCAGCCAGCCTCTGTCTCATGGTGTCACCCCAGTGGTGGATTACGATGCCATCAATCAGTATTGATTTAGGATATTTGTCATGTGTTTGGTGTGAATAAACTGCAGGGGAAACAAACAAACAAACAAAACCCCCAAGTTTGAATTTAGAGGGCAGGTGACTGGCCACAGGGTTCATTGGGAATTCCACTTTTCTCTCTGCTTTGAAGAAAATTTGAGGAAGAAAACAGATTGGGATGGGTCTAGCTAGCCTCATTAGCACAGAAAGATAAAGCAAAAAGACTTTAGACTGAGCTTTTGTGTAAAGGGACTGCCACCCCTCAGGGAAAGAAATCACTGCCAGTAATTAACTCATGATTATGCAAAGATCAATTAACCTAGTCTCTTTGTTTTCCCCTCTTTCTCTTTTATTGCCTTAGGCTATCTCATTTCTTATTATCCTCAACATTTTAGGGGAGTGGGGCAGAAAGGGACTCAACTTTTTGCCCATTTTACTTTCAGTGCTCGTTTTATTCAAAGAAAAATTAAGATAATGTCTTTGAGGACAACAGTAGTTTTCTATGTTATTAGCTATTCAGGAAATTTTTGGAAGAATTTCTAAGTTTCTTTCTCATACGGACCAGCTGGGTTGACTTCAGACATGATTGCAATCAATCATAATGATGTGTTTTAATAGCCTTTCATAGTTTATAATATTATTTCTCAGAGTGACCCTTGCAATAGTGTGTGTGGCATGTATCAAGGATTTGTTTATTGTCAAATATTAGATGAACATAAAAATCCCAAGATACATAGGGTTAACTGTAACATTTTAAAATGAGGGGGAAATGAGATTCGGTTTGATTCTTTTGCCCTTTTTTATTTCAAAGAAGGTATCAGCATTTTAGTTTTTCCAACAAACATTTCTTGTTCACTGCTGTGTTCAAGTGCTGGAAATTACTAAGGTTCTGAGAATCGGTTATGAAAAAAGGACTAACCCCATATCTTGGAGAGATTATGTGACAGTGGGGGTGTGATGATAAAATGAACAGTGCAATAAATAAGTGTTGTATCAAAAGACGGGAGCAGAGAGATAGAACAGGGATGTGGTACTTGCCTTGCAGGTGCCTACCCTCATTGGATCACCAGCACGGCCAGGAATGATCCCTAAGCACAGAGCCAGGAAAAAGTCCTGAGCACCAGCATATGTGATCTCCAAATCAAATTAAAAGAAAACCAGTAAAGTGGTAGTACAGATGGCGGGTGCTTGGTGGGTGCTTGCGGCTGACTCGGGTCCAGCCTCAGTAGCCCAGATGGTCTCTTGCAAGCCTGGCCAGGAATGATCCCTGTGTGTAGAGCCTTGTATCCGTCCTGAGCACTGCCATGTGTGGCCCCGATATTAAAAAAATAAATAAATAAAACAAGCTAAAAGTTATGGAGGGGCTGGGCTAGGGAGATGGCTCCAAGGACCAGAGTACATGCTTCAGGAGACCCCGTTTGATCCATAGCATCACATGGTCCTCTGAGCACTGCTGGGTGTGCTCCCAAAACAACAAAAGAAAGTATGGAAATTGAGAATAGGGTAGGAAGATCGGGAGTCCAGGGTACAGTGGCCACCTCTGGTATTAAGCATATTTTTTTTTCCCATAGCGAATGACTCACCATCTGACATACTGTTTTTACTTCTCCTGAGCATCTCTGCCCTTTCCTGAGCCTGGGTAGCTTAAAAGCTCTGTTGGGCCAAGGGTGTTATAATCTATTTCGTTCACTCTTGTATTCCCAAAGGACAGTGTCATGCCCAGAACATAAACGATGCATGTAAAATATTTGCTGGGTGAATGACTTAAATGCATATTTTATTGATGATCAGGAACACACTGGTCACTGTACCCTTGTCTGAGGGGATGCCATATGGCCATCTGAAGGGACATTATTCCAGACAGAGGGCCTAGTATGCCTCAGCAGAGTGAACAAAAGAAGAGCATGAGGTCAGAGATGCAATAGGAAGGTGTGTGTTTGGGGGGCAGGGATTGGTTCCTATCACTCTGTTTTTTTATAGCTTTGAGCCTAATGAAATAGATCAACAGACACAAAGTTAAATATGACAGCTCCTGTGAGGCTTCTAGTAGTCGGGGTGATGCAGAGTGGTCTGATTTTGGGTTTGTGTTATTTTGAATGTGGGACAAATGTGTTCTGCTATCAAGTATAAGGAAAGCAAAGTCACAGGTTTTACAATTTCCACATTAAGGATGGAATCCGGCTATAGAAGGTACAGAGTCAACAAGTCTGAGAGGAGCTGTTCAGTTTGGCTGTGTCCTAATAGTATCCAAGTGGCTAGTCAGTCCAGTCTGAAAATACAAATGGGCGAGTGTTGGAGTTCTCCCCTGCATAACCAGGGGAGCTGTAGGATACGGGCCCAGTGACCCCTAGGTGCACCCCTGTATATAGGCCTACATATAATTTAGACACACTTGACATCATCTAGGGAACAAGTATGGAAAAGCAAGCGTCTGGAGACTGAACCTGTGGTTATTTCCGTGTTTCAGGTTCAAAAGGAGGAAGTAAGCCAGCAAAGATTTAGAAAGATTTTAGTGAATATTTTCTGAAACCCAGGGCAAGAGGAAATACTTGAGTAGAAACGATCACCTGTCCCTGTCAGATGCTCATCCTCAGAGGCTGAGTATGGAGCCTGGGTCTAAATAAGTTTGAATCTGGAGCTGAAGTGATAGCACAGCCGGTAGGGCATTTGCCTTGCATGCAGCCGACCTGGGTTCGATTCCCAGCATCCCATATGGTCCCCTGAGCACCACCAGGAGTGATTACTGAGTACAGAGCCAGGAGTAACTCCTGTGCATCGCCGGGTGTGACCCAAAAAGCAATAAATTTATAAATAAACAAACAAGCTGGAGGGGACCTGGACGAATGGATATGGGAAGTGATGGGTGGCAAAAGGTTGGTTGAAATATAACTATCTTGTAAAATAATTAACCAATAGATGATTACACTTACGAGTAGCTCGTTGATTATTTACAAAGGACTGTTTATGGGAGAATTTAGTCGTGATTAATTCATGCTCTTCGCAGTCAAACACTTAGGCTGTCCTCAGAGTAATGATTGATGAGTAGCCCATCTTTGCAGATATCATGTGAACAAGATATTTGATTAGTAGCATGGCTTGCTTTAGTATTAAATGGAGATTGATTTTCCAGAAACAATAGAAAAGTATATTTTATCTCTCTGTTCAGAAATGTAAACTTTATTTTCTATTTTCTGAAGTGAACTGTAGTCTGCTATTGTTGACTTTTCTAATTTTCCTTTTCTAAAAAAACTTTGCAGGCTGGAGTGAGACAGCTTTATGTACAGATTGACTTCGCGGCCATTTAACGAATGAAAAGGAATTATGCTTTTCTGTGGACCGAACTCTTTTGGTACTGTACAATCTTAAACATTGTACCCAGTTTTCCACAGCAGAAAAATCATCACTACAGTTCCTCAGCACCAAGCTCACCAGGTCGAGTGGGTCAGTGGTGCTGTGTCGGAAGTCCACAGACAAGGGATCACAATTAAGAGGATCTCTCCTAAGCTTTTGGTCTGGTCTTTTGTAATCTTCCATTCAAACCACTTTGATTTCTGAGGGTTCTGGTTTTGCCCTATAGCTTTTGTTTGATTCTTCCTCTCCCCACTCCTCAGCCCCAATTCAAATACCCTCATTCACACTCCTCATCCTAGCCAGTCAGAAATTCAGATTGTGGACCTCCAGTCATCTGGAATGTCTTCACTGAAGCTGCTGGAAACCACTGCTCTCATCCCCCCAAAACCAGTGTTATTAAGAAAAAGAAATAGAAATATGTTTTATATGTAATGTCACAGTTGTTGACGTTCTTCAGTATAATCATATGTTTGTAAAATTGTTTGTACCTTGCAAACTTAAGAACCAAACCATATTGGGTTTTCCAAGTGCCTTTGTATCAGAAAATGTGCCAGCTTAGAAATGTACCATCAACGGCCATAGATTTTTTTTTTAATGACTCTTCTGTAATCTGTCCAAATGAGACTTCTCAGTATACAGATTGTCTTGTATACAGATTGTATATTCTTGTATACAGGTTATCTTTTTTGTGTACATCCATTCTAGGTTTAGTTACGTGGAAATTTTCTCTTTGTTTTATTGCATCAAAAAAATAAAAGGTGTTATTTTGCTTTTCAGATCAAATTCAGTTATCACATTAAATGACTTTGTGGAGTTTATTTTCAAAATTTGGATATGCATATGTTTACACAGTTGTTTTGACTTATGCAAAACATCGAAAATTCAGATTTCTTAAAAGTTCTGTCTTTGAAAAATGTCTCCCCACCTCCCCCGCCCTGCTTGCTTTTAATTTTGGTAGAGGGGGCCTGGGGGTATTTGGATCACAGCTGGCAGTGCTCAGAGCTACTTCTTCTGGCTCTGTGCTCAGGTGTCATTCCTGAGGGTGCTTGGGGGACCATATGAGGTGCCAGGGTTCAAACCAGGTCTGCTGCAGGCAAGTCAAGCGCCTTAAGCCCTGTTTCTTCAAGCCTCCCTACTGTTCTTATGGTTTTTATTAATGAATAGAAAGGCAATGTGAGAGAAGACAAATAGATGTGATGCTATTTATCTTTTTTGATTTTCAAATGCCAGGTCATTCGATTTGTCTTTCTGTGCAAGTATTGCATTATACAGTTGCTAGGATAACATGGTAATACAGAACTCTTCCTCACCTAGGTATCTTAGGAAATAATAACTAAGTCGATTTCCAAGTCCTTGTGTATTTGAAAAATAAAATTGCTATTTGAAATTAGACTTTGAACATTCTACTCAAGTAGTCTGTTGTTTGGTGGAAAAGTATGGATCTGGATAAATATTTTTCCATTGTATTTCATTTCGTCATAGCGTATATTATCTTTTAACTAAAAATAGTTGCAGTTGTTCTGGGAAAACTTTGTAGGGTAGAAATGATTGTTTAGAATGTGGATAAATAATAAGCATTTTTTCACTGGCATGACAGAAATCACTGTTGTTTTTGTCTGAATACTTTGCCCCTATATTCAACCTACAATTTGCGAGCTTTCATTAGGAAAACTAGACTGCTTCTGCCATGCTTTTCTAAACTACTGAATATTGCCATAATCTGTCTTGTCCATGTTCCCTTTTTTGAACATTAAATAGTATTTTCAAAACATTTTACGTAATGTCAGGCAAGAATTCCCACATAGAATGTATTTAAAACAACTGCTGAGACATTTTAGGAGGAAAACTACAAAGGGAATAAGATCCTGTTAATGATGCTGTTCTTTCATTATATGTAAATCATCACTTGGGCTTCTGCAACCACTACCAAACTTGACAGAACTGTGAGATATTCTGTGGATTTGGGCATGTAATGGAAGATGATAGATAGTTCTAGAAGAAGGCAGGGATTTGGGATGTGGATCTTTACAAACTATAGGGTGAAAAATATCTCTAGGCAATAGAGCATTTACCTTACACTTTTCCTGATACTGCCCAAAAAAAGAAATGAAAAACTGTAATTGTACTGATATGGGAATATTTCATTTGCCCTGATCTGTGCAACATTCATGCTTTAATTAAATGTTTATATATGTTAATGAGTGCAGCAGTAAAAAATTAGTAAGAGAAAAGCAGTTTCTTCATCTTTAGGATAGATATTGTGTTCTTAGCATAGACGTATTGCTAAAGAAGGTAATTTCACTGAGAGGTACTACCTGATTCGTGTTATAAAATAAATCCTGACCTATTGCTGGGTTAAACGTTTGCAGAAAAAGAATTCTGTACATGAGTATAACTACTAATACTTTTTAGAAAAACAGAGTATCTTGAGAACAGATTTGTCATGCTCAGAGTGTGTACATCACTAAGTAAACTTCCCCCGAACAGAAACATACTGATGCTAGTTTGTGTTTTTAAAGCTAAATTATTGTCAGATGAAGGGTCTAACATATGTCTAGCTTTCTCCTTCTGCTGGCTGGCTCCCTGTGTACCTTTTCTGAAGGATGTTCTCAGGGGGACTTGTGACTCAGTGTGCCTCACTCAGTGCCAGCCCTGCAGCCTTTTCTGTAGAGATATAAAGAAATGCAACAGCTTTTACCACTAGTGAGAGTTTCTGTGAATCCTGAATGCTTCAGAATTTTTCAGATCCTACATGTATGTACCTGTTAACAAAATACTGTAAGTTTTGTGCACATTTGTAAAGTAGCCAACTCACTGACTTCAGATACAGTTTGTTAAAGTCTTTGACTCAAATGCAATTGATTCGAGTTCCCTAACATTTTAATCTACAATGAAACAATCCATTTTATGGAGATAATTAATACGGTAGCATCCTCCACATTGAGTAATGGGATTTAAAAACAAGAATATCATTCCCTATGCGAAATACACACCTAAGAGGACCGTCCGTCATTAGAAGTCATCTCTACCTCTCATTTTAGAGATGAGAAAACTGAAGTCCAGGAAAACTGTCATTACAGGATTAGAATTCAAGTCTTCTGACTCCAAGTCTAGAGGTTTTTTTGTTTTCTTTTTTCCTCTCTCTTTCTTCTGTGTGGCCTCTCCAGTGTGGTCTTTTGCCTTTCTGTAAATGTGATGAAGATGCCTCTGACCTATATTTTTGGTACATATAGGCACTTTATAGAGTTTTATTGTCTCACTTTTTCATATCTAATAGGAGCTTAGCATATTATTTCCATAGTATTCTTTATGGAAAATACCATTTTTTTTACTTTTTTCTTTTTTAACATTTTTACTCTTAGGAAAGCAGTTCCTGATTAAAAACAAAAGCAAACCAAATGACCTTTGTGCACTGGATAATTTCCATCTGTGAGTCACTTTTTTTATGTTCACTGCCCAAGGCTAAATCCAATTTAGAGTACTTTCCTTATTTTTTAAAACTTTTTGTATTTTTTTAGAAACCAGCCTAGTTCACAGGTCTTCCTACTGTACTTTCAGTCTTCCTACTGTAATTTTTAGTCACGGGAGAGCCTTTGCATTTTTAAAATTATTTTCAGTGCCATACAAAATTGGGCATAAAATTTTACTCAGAAAAAGTCTTTTCATTCAGTTGGGTAAAAAAATTGAAGTCTTAACAGAATTCAAAATGCTAAACTGCTACTTTCAACATTTCATTAGGTATTTATTCCCTTGAAAAAAATTTTGCCTTTTCTAACATCTTTGAAACAGATTATTTTCTAATTCAGAACTTCATCGAAGAGTTAGTTGTTTTATTCTTTGAAGAGCCTTAATTAATGGAAGATTAATAAATATTAATAAAGCCTTTATTAATGGAAGAAGATTGTTTCAAGACTCAATTCCTTAGAACCATAGTGATCCAGATTTCCACCATACTATCAAGACAGACTAAAATAGAATGAAAACTTGCATTTCAAAAAAATGTTTGAGGAGATGTATACCTCCATTTAAAAGCCAAATAAATATGAATCTTTTTTATTCTGGCATCTTTAGTTTCTGTTTAACTATTTCCTAAGTACAAATTATACAGAAGAAAAATGGAATAGAATTCTTATTTAAGTAGATATGAGCCAGGTTCATTATGTGGCCTTTTTAATGTTAGTCACATTTAAAATCCTCACATTTCTAGACAGAATTTTCTGTGATATTCTGATTGACAGCATTTTCAAATATTTTCTCTCTGGTTTTCCTAATACCCCAAGGAAGACATGTCTTACTTTCATTTTACAGATGAAGATGCTATTAGAGAATTTAAATGGCTTGCTTGATGAAGGACCATGGTTAGAAGAGATGCAGAATACAATGCTTTTTCTTAATGTTACTCTTTTAGTGAGTCATTCTACAAAGAAAAGGGATACCTACGTTGTAGCACTCTAAACAGACAGACTTAGAAAATTTTAGTGAACTACCACAATGACAAAATTGCTATGGGAAACTTGTTAATATATATTATGTGGACTCATCTTTTAATGTTTTCCATATCTATTTCTCACCTTTACTGTTGGACTTGTGCAGACTGAAAAGAATAATCAGAACTCCTTCTAGCACTTTTTAAAACCTTAAAGTAAAAAAAGATGACAAGTTTTATTGACATAGAATAAACTGTTTGGAACTGACTCAAGGGAGCCAGAGAAACCAAACCCCTGGCTTACTTAGTTTATTAGGGAATTGTCTTCAAGGAGTACTGATTTTTTTATGCTGTATTAAAAAGTTCCCCGTGACGTATTCGATATGCCAAACACAGTAACAACAAGTTTCACAATGTTACTGGACCCACTCGAGCAAAATTGATGAACAGTGGGAGGACTGTGCTACAGTGCAGTGCAGTATTAAAAAGTAATAAAGAGTTTGGTTTGTACGACTTTTGAGGGCACCTTTTCAAAAATTATAAATCTTATTATTTAGCTCTGAACTTTTACCATAACTGCAGAAATGTATTTTATAATTTTGATTAGGTTGGAAAGTTTGTAACAAAGAATCTTTGTCTCAAAAATCCTATTTTCCCCCAAGCTTGTCATGAGTTTCTCATGTAACATGCTGAGTAAATGTTAACAGCAGAAATGAATATTGTAGACAAGTGATTGGGATAGGTAAGGCCAATGATTTATGGTCTATTACTGCAGACATCTCAGCATTTCTTTGGCATTTTTTGCACAAACAAGTGACTATATTTACTTTGGCCATATTCTCCCCAGTCATGTGAGCTGTTCACTCTTTTAATCCAGGGTCAGTGGAAGCATAGAGGTAGTACCCGTCTGCATACTGTTGGCCAGGAATTTGACAAAACTGTGACTGTGAAACTTGGGCCACTTAAATTTTTACTTTTCGTATAAGCAAATGAAGCCAGTTTCTTTGGGTTATGAATAATTACCACGGTCATTTAAAAACTGAGTATAATGTCTTCTTGGGCATTTGTCGTCAAATGTATAATATTATTTAAATTTTTTCAGTGGTATATTTTGAAGGTGCTTTGATAAATAGAACACTATATGTATTCACCAAGAGATTACAGAATAATTATATGTTTTATCTTTTTCTCTTTTAACTACTCGATTTTAGAAGAGCTTTTGTTATTTCTGCACTTTTTATCTCTTCATTGCTGCTGCCAATTGTACAGCTTTCCTCTTTTTGCTAGTGAAAAAAAAAAACTTTAGTTTGAATTTTATGTATCACGTATCATGTATTAGCCTCAATGAAGAATCTGCTTTTAACAAGACATTTTCCCATTGAATTTGCTAAGTAATTCCCACTTCTTCCTCCAGCAGCAAATTCTGAGATAATTCCCTCTCTGTGATCCTTTGCCCCAACATTTGTGAGTTTGATCTAGTAACCATCTTTTATACCAGAAATACTGTGAAAATTGCCAAATCCCTTTTCAGTATCTTCTAGGCATCCCTACAACACTTTACCTCCCTATTTTTAATGCTTTCTAAATATATGACCAACGTGAATTTTGTTTTGAACCCTTTGGTAAAGATTATTTATGGCATCAAAACCTTTAAAAAAATGTTTTCAGGACAAGGCTAGATTGGAGTGTGAAATACGAAAGCATTATAATTTTGTTTGAATATGCTAAAGTGAGAAATTTGCCTAATTAAAATACAATAAATCCATAATGTATATTTCACATTTTTCTACTTGAAGACATTCATGTATATATTGTTTAACATCAATTGTATTTAAAAAGAATCAGCAATTGTATCAAAATCTTCCAATAAAATACCTGTTTAAAAATCTTCATCTGAATTGTATCAATTTG